TTGCCCCGGCATGGCCAGGTGGTTAGGGCGCTCGACTCCCAATCTGCGGGTCACGGGTTCGAATCCCCGTCACACCAAATATGCTTCCCCCCTTTCAGCTATGGAGAGCGTTATAATGTGACGGTCAATCCCGCTATTCGTTGGTAAAAGAGTAGCCCAAGAGTTGGCGGTGGGTGGTATTGCCTTCCCTCTAGTCTTACACTGCTAAATTAGGGATGGCTAACGCAGATAACCCTCGCGTAGCTTTGCGCGAAATTCAAAACAAATTCTTTTAATTTTTGGTTAGATAATCCAGGAGGGCAAGTGCCCCCCTTGCGGACTCCCCTGATAGCATTTCCAGTTTTTATAACGTTTAGTCTTTCAAAACGAGATAAAACTCAGGTTTCTACCTGTTTATATTTCAAAAGATAAAAAAAATAGTTTCTTTGTTTATGCTCAAAAAATAGGTAGTATTTTAATAAAAAAATATGTGTCTGTCGAGAAATGAAATCTATTTTGAAAATGCATTTTGAGTTAAAATATTCCGTTTTTTATTTCGTCTGCAAATAATTGTCTACAGGTAAATAAAGCAGGAAATTTAGTTTTTCTTTTGTTGTTGTTGTAAAGCTACAGCCATAACTTCTTTATTTAGTTTTCATGGTAAAAAAAAAAAGATGTTGTAGTCAACTAATGGTTATAAAGCAATATTAAATATCCATGATCCTTATAACTCACTTGATCAGGACATCTTGTAATCATGACTCCTTCAGAAACTATGTGTGAATTAAGTGAATACATGGCTCAGGAAGACAGCTAGTCAACACCACTCAGGAAGACAGCAACTAGTAAACACCACTCAGGAAGACAGCAACTAGTAAACACCACTCAGGAAGACAGCAACTAGTAAACACCACTCAGGAAGACAGCAACTAGTAAACACCACTCAGGAAGACAGCAACTAGTAAACACCACTCAGGAAGACAGCAACTAGTAAACACCACTCAGGAAGACAGCAGCTAGTCAACACCACTCAGGAAGACAGCAACTAGTAAACACCACTCAGGAAGACAGCAGCTAGTCAACACCACTCAGGAAGACAGCAACTAGTAAACACCACTCAGGAAGACAGCAACTAGTAAACACCACTCAGGAAGACAGCAACTAGTAAACACCACTCAGGAAGACAGCAACTAGTAAACACCACTCAGGAAGACAACAACTAGTAAACACCACTCAGGAAGACAGCAGCTAGTCAACACCACTCAGGAAGACAGCAGCTAGTCAACACCACCCACTTCCATCTCTTGGGCTACTCTTTTACCAAGAATAGTTGGATTGACTCACATTATAGCGCCCCCACGGCTGAAACGGCGAACATATTCGGGAGCTAGTTTCGATCCCACGACCCGCAGAAACATACCACGTAATTCCAAGTAATTACGTCACCACAACTCATCATATCCATGCTAAGGGTACCGATAACAAAGCTTCTACCATATAAATCATCAAAATTCAGGATTTTAAAATGACGCATCATTAGCATATTTTCCAGGTTATGGCCCATCTTAATGGAATACATTCAAACATATACTAAAACGTTTTATTGTGCATATTTGTCACTTGCACGTGACATCGGGTGTCAAAAACTTTGAAAGAATTGTTTTACCGTTTCTATCTCGAAATGAAACGACCTTTTCAAAGGTGAAGCGCAAACAAGCGAGGCGACATCTTTTTGCAAAAAAATTAAGTAATACTTTAACGTATGTATATAACGTCTCCAAAACCGTATATCTAAAAAATTATCCCCTCAGTTAAGAATAAAATGCTCATTTCTTATCCGATATGAGCTTCTAAATCTTGATCAAACTCACTGAAATATCCTTAATAATAACAGGCTAACAAACAAACGCGTAAAGAAGTATTTCCTAAAAAAAAAACTGAATGAAACCAAAGTATACGTGAAACCTAACATGTTAATATTTCTCACTAAACACTGTATCAGTGTGTCTATGTACTAGTCTATTTGCAAAATAAAATGCTTTTATTTTTCTAGCTTAATTTTATTTTTTTACCTTCTTTCACTATTTGCAGTCGAGACTGATATATCCTTTTGTATTGTCTAAGTCCCAATTTCTCTCGGCTTTGTAAACTAACGACTTTTAACAGTTTGAGGACAACAGACGAAGTTGGTTTGTCAACGTGGACTGGAAATGTATTTAGTTTTATTTTTATCTCTTTTTACTAGCGAATTTCACTCTATCTATATATTTATATATATATATGTATGTGCGTCTATATGTATGCATCTGAGTGCGTGTGTGTGTAGATGTAAGTGTACATGCGTGTCTGTATGTGTCTATACATTTATTAAATAATTTCGTGCTGTGACCACCGTAGTGTAGCATACAAAGTCGAAACGAAGGAGAAACTCAAATAAATTGAAGAGAGTTAATTATCTAAAGGTAATTAGAGCAACTATACCATGATTAGGACAATAATACTGAAACAATACCAAGTAGATATACCAGTTTAAACAATAATGATAGCTTGAATAATTACGTAAAACGCATAATGTAAACATGTTTAAAAATGAATTTACACATAGTAGATTAGGGCTGTGTCGTATGCAGGAAAACGACTGGTTACAGTATATAATATTTCGATTTTCACCATCAGGTATAAGCAAGTGGTCCACGGTTTATAGCAATCAGACGATGAATTAATAACACTCAATTGATTAACATTTGTATAAAAAAATAAAAATGCAACTGACAAAGAAAAAGGCTTATACGTAATTAAAATGGACGCCGATGAACTTACTATTGGTGAACGAGAGTAATTTTCGTTATAATAGGTGTCTTCCTACGAAGACTCTTCTCAGAGCGATGAAAATTCACCTATAAAAACCTGTGCCTCACTTTTAACCAAACTACGTAACATCCATACTTGACTGGCTATCAGTGATTTCAGTCGGCTCGTGCCAGCAACTTACCCCGTGGACTGAGATATAATGGCGGATCCGCTGCAGTGTTGGCATTGATCGGGAGAGACTGACCTAGGCCAGGTTACCATAACAACCACATACACATACACATGTAACGATGCAGAAACTAAACCCTGCTATACTTATTAATCTTATATTGGTGCTGCCACCACGATATATCATGAAGCACGTGTGAATTCTTTTTTATTCAAAAACTTACACGTCCATTAATGGAAAAAGTAAAAACAAAACCATTAAAAATTAAATTTACTAGAGTTTTTACAGCAGATATTTCTCGGAGTAAAATATGAGTATACGGTTCACATGTCATTCTACGCAGTCGTAAGAATAAATAACCAATCATAGTTTTTGTATATCGATTGATGTAGACAGCCTTTTAAGCCATGCTCTACAATATTAGAACTCTTGGCCATTATAATTTTTTTGCACAACTATATCTATTTGGTGATACTTTTTATGTCGTTAAGGATAGTATTTAAAATCTAATTCTATTACAAAATATTTCAAAAAGGGAAATATCTGATGGGTTCGCAATCTTTCTATAATGAATTAAACGCCATTTTCATATATACGTATATAAGCTATGGATTACCCAGAGAAAAATATTGCATACGAGTGCGTGTATCATCTCTTTTTCTAGTTTATTTTAATATTATATTCTGAAGGCAGGTAAGGGTTACGAATATTGTGACAGAAAAATTATCTTTTAGCTGATTTACACGTTGTTTCTTTTCCATACTTATTTTTAGTTGAAATCGTATGATACTTTTTTGCTTTTCATATTTTCTGTTATTAGTTACAAATAGATAGGTGGCGACATCTTACCGTGATTACTGAAAACGTGCTATGTACAGGTGAAAAGGGATAGTAATAACCATTTTTACCGTTTTAATAAATAAATAAAGGCACCGAATATCGCTTATTAAGTGTAACACTCTAAATTAACAAATACTGAAATTAAAACTTATTTTCGGAATTTAATTTTAAGCTTGCAAATTTCCTCATCGCATCGACAATGATGATCGTGGTAAGTCACAGAGTTACACTAGGTTAACTATAAAATATGTGTTGCTGTATATTATAATAACATACAAAGGAGGATTTCAGATAAGATACAGATGGCTATGCTTCAATTTCCTAAAACAATAAAAGTTATATATATGTATATATATATATATATATATATTGATCATTACTTGTATAAGTTTGTTTGTAATTAAGTACAAAGCTACACAATGGGCTATCTGTGCTCTGCCCACCACGGGTATCGAAACCCAGATTCTAGCGTTGTAAGTCCGCAGACATACCGCTGTGCCACGTGGGGGGGGGGGCTACTTGTATAAAAAATAATACAACCACAACAGATATAAAGTCGCAGTGAGACGGAATGTATCAGAACTACATTTTGGCATTGCTTGGCGTTTTGAAGACTGTGCGACGCCACCGAAAACTGGTCGTTTTTAAGAATGGTATGTAACAGCTCTTTCCGACGCAAAATATACAAACACTCAGATCATAAAGATATGTTCAGGTCAAGGATATAGGATTTCCAAGACTGATATATCCTTTTTACTCAATTTTCATTGGAAAACAATGGAATATGGGTTAACTTGGGAACCAGGGCAAGCCAGAATGAGTTTGTTTGACTGTTTTGAATTTCGCGCAAAGCTACACGAAGGTTATCTGCGCTAGTCGTCCCTAATTTAACAGTGAAAGACAGCTAGTCATCACCATCCACTGCCAACTGTTGAGCTACTCTTTTACCAACGAATAGTGGGATTGACCGTCACATTATAACGTTCCCACGGCCTGAAAGGGGCGAGCATGTTTGGTGGGACGGAGATTCGAACCTGCGACCCTCAGATTGCGAGTCAAGCGCCCTAACCACCTGGTCATGCATCAAGAGAAGGAAACCATACCCTGCTGAAACGTGTTAGGTCCTTTTATCAAATTGTGTTTTAATTCATGCTTTATAATATTTTTTACGTGCTTTAGTTTGATAGATTTGGCCAGGAAAAGACCTATTTATTTACATATAGGTTTGACCCACAGGGTTCATGCCCTAGATGTATTATGCAGCGCCCCGAATTTATACTACGTAAACTATAACAATGAAATTATGTTTCAACTATTTTTCGGTAACTAATGGCGTCCCTGGGTTTAAGTATTTACTTTTTTTGAAGGGTGGGTGTGCAGAGACAGCCTTGAAAGACCTAATACTACCTTGTTTTTCGTGTGTTATCCTAAACTTTATCGTAATTGTGTTAATGTTAAAAGTAGATTTCTTATATTATAGTAATATCAACGTGTTCCTCTGTAGAATTATTACATCAGGTCAATTTGAAGTAGCATGTTAAAATTTAAAAATAGAAAATAATTTTCAATTGGACATATTCGGGAAACTTTCGTAAAAACTTTTAAGGAAACCAACATATGTACTAGATTTGGACAAGTGCCATGGCCTCATTTAGATTTCCGCATTTTGTAAAGATGGAATGCGTCCGTACAGACTTTCCCTGAAGCTACATCCTTTAGTTTAGGTTAAAAGCTCGGAAAGATACATTATTATATATCCTTAAAAGTAAACCAACAGCATCACTGTAAATGTAATGCCCGTAAATGTTGTTTTCACATTAGTAAATATTTCAGATTCTGTGTTGAATTATAAAAAATAATTATGCACTCATTCTAATTAGAAGTTATTTTAAAAACTGTTTTTTTAAGTATTTAACTTTCTGAAACAATAAGATTTTTCAAATATACACCTATGAATTACAGAGTCGTGCGTTGATATATTATTACAAGGAAGAAATTAAGTTTCTAAATATAAATGTGTAATTTGCTCAATTAATTTTTATTGTCCAATCTCACAAAATGTTTGTAAACAGCATTCGATAATTATAATCATAATTTATCAGCGTAAATAAAAAACAAAAAAAACTGAGTTTGTCATTTACTAAGTCTGAATTATTGTCTACTAAAATTCAAACCTGTCTGTTTACCTTACATTTAGTCATAAATAAATAAAACGAAGCAACAAAAAGTGCTACCTGTGCTCTGCGCAACACGGGTATCGAAACCCGGTCTCTAAGGTTGTAAGTCCGCAGACATGCCGCTGTGCCAGTACAAAAAGTTTAATGCACAATTACGAAAAAAAAAGATAGCTTAAGATTAATTCATCATGCATGGGGAAAAAGATAGCTTTTGTCTTTGCGGTGTTCCTTTATCTTTTGTTTTTATTATTATTATTATTATGTTGATATTTTACGTACCTTATACTCTTTCAATTAGTTCAACTGCTTGTTAACTTCACTTAATTATGCATGATACCAACTCACACTGTTAATTATAACACGACTTTCACAGTTAAGACGAAATGACAGACGCTGGGTGGCGCTAGGGTCTTTGTCATGGTAACTTTAGTTATGTAAATAAGTTGGCTGTCATATGCAAATAAGCGTTGCTAGAACAGTATCTAAGTCAGCGCTCTGCGTAAGTAAGTTAATCAGATGCTTTGTTAATAACTAATAAATGTCACGCGCCGAGCTCTTATCTCATTGTCTGGTGTCAAATAAAAAGTACGCGTATAAAAATAAAAGAGAACTGAAAAATTGTATTAAAAACGTGGACTTTTCGGTTGGATATTGCTTGAAATTCGATTAGACTTTATAAGTGTTTCGAGCTATAATTAATCAGAGAGTTTGTAAGTGTTTTATATTACTAAAAATATTTTGTGATAAATTACGAGGTTATATTTTTGTCCTTTATAGTTCTTTTTCGTAAGTTTTCATGTCGATATTATATTCTTAAATCAGATTGCTTGAAAACGTTTAGGCCAGGCATTTTCGAATTGTTATGGTGTGGACACCTTTTGCTGGTTAAACATGGTTATAATGAATTACGTTTACCATAACATGATAGTATTAGGTTTATTGTATTTTTAAAAACTACATTCTTTTTTCGGTCCCATAGGGTTTTTCCGAGAAGAAATGCCCACCATATTCATTGCCGACGATGCGTTTCGCTCACTATCAGAGCTTATCAGGCCAGCAGGGATTATCAAACATTAGCTATGCCCAACCCATCAAAAAATGACGAAAAAAAAAACAACAAAACAAAAGAAACCGTGGGTTCCCGCCCTTCCGTCACATATACCAGAATGTATTTTTTCAAATTATGTCATATAACCTAAAAATTACGGTTTAAACGCCGAAATAAGATAAAGCGCCCAAAACCAATAGGGCTAAGGTTTATGATAAAAAATCCTATCACAACTACTATTTAAACTACCACGGAGTTATATTCCTCAAATTATATACACACAATTCTAAATAATTAATAATCAATACCGAAATAAAAATTACAAACACGATAAGGAATGTAGGACTTTTCAGATATGCAACTTTAGGCCTATGTCTATGAAACAAAATGTAACAGATGACCTACCTTTAATATCATGTACGTACGACCCATGAAAGCACTAGTCTTCAGTGAGATGTTTTGTGGACATTGCTGCATCCAAACAAGAGAATTGCTTTCAAATGTTTATCAGTCAACCTCGTTCGATGTGCTGACTTCACATAATTCATTTTTGACAATGTTTGCTCACAGACATAAGTTGTTCCAAACACTGATGCCATACCAGAGGCAAATTTCTTAACTTTGAAACTCATCATCAGGTAAGCAGCGATAAACTTCAACAAGTTTTCCTTCTCTGTGCTTCTCCTTCAACAAGTCATTTGCTTGCAAATCAATGAGCTCCAACCGTAGTTCGACTGGCACGTCATAAAGGTTACAATCAAACGGATTCTGGAACAGAAGAATGTCACTCTCAATTCTGTCGAGCTCTGAAAATCTCTCCAAAAAATGCTTATTTAAGTCACTAATAATCTTCTTCGGAAACTCGAGGTTGACGTCTTCTGCGATTCCAGCGCGAAACTCTTTGAAACACTGAAAATGAGAGAAGATTCCTCCTTTCAGTTGTGCTTCAAACAATGGTAGCTTTCTCCGAAATCCTTTGATGATTCTGTAGAGATCACAGATAAGGTTATCTTTTCCCTGAAGTTTCAAGCTCAATTCATTCAAGTGGGATGTGATGTCAACCAAAAATGACAACTTTGACAGCCAGGTAGTATCTGACAGAAGTGGATCAGCTCTATCCTGATAGAGTTATCAGTTATCTCTCAATAGATGGAGAAACAAATAATAAGGAAAAATACTTGGAAGTTCAGTTATCTCTCAATAGATAGAGAAACAAATAATAAGGAAAAATACTTGGAAGTTCATTTATTTCTCAATAGATGGAGAAAGAAATAATAATGAAAAATACTTGGAAGTTCATTTATTTCTCAATAGATGGAGAAAGAAATAATAAGGAAAAATACTTGGAAGTTCATTTATCTCTCAATAGATGGAGAAAGAAATAATAAGGAAAAATACTTGGAAGTTCAGTTATCTCTCACTAGATGGAGAAAGAAATAATAAGGAAAAATACTTGGAAGTTCAGTTATCACTCAATAGATGGAGAAACAAATAATAAGGAAAAATACTTGGAAGTTCAGAAATAATAAGGAAAAATACTTGGAAGTTCAGTTATCTCTCAATAGATGGAGAAACAAATAATAAGGAAAAATACTTGGAAAGTTCGGTTATCTCTCAGTAGATGGAGAGAAAATACTTGGAAGTTCAGTTATATCTAAGTAGAGGGAGAAAAAATTACGAAAAAAATACTTGGAAGTTAAGTTATCAGAGGCGACTGCAGGAATGAACTCTCATTACAGGTACTTACACTAAAAGCACTCTGATATCCAAAGTCGCAAAAAGTTGTCGAATTTTTTATTTCACTGATTTTCCTAAAACTTATATTACTGTCAGATGCAAAAACCAGATTCGACAAATTTGGATATTTTTACTTGCTCTTATTTTAATATTTTTTACATAGTAAGTTTATCTACAATCTATGATATTTCCATATAAATAATTATATTTTAGCTCATTTGTGGCACAGTGCAGCGGCGGGCCGGATTCGGCCCGCGGGCCTTAGTTTGGTGACCCCTGTTCTATATAAATATAATAGAACTGTCTGTTGTCTGTAACTACTTCACAGGGTGTAGATGGATCTTCACCAAAATTGGTATGGAGGTTCATTAGGTCCATTAGGGGGTATATATAACTTTCAGTTTTACATTTTGCGGTTTCTATGAGCGTTTTTGCGTTTTTTACCATTACCTCACCTCCTGTACATGGATCTTCACCAAATTTGGTATGGAGGTTCATTTGGTTTTTGGGGAGATACATAAAAATTTTCAGTTTTGCATTTTGTGGTTTTATGGGCGTTTTTTACCACTCCTTCGCCAAGGGGTAAGAGAAGAGTTAAATGCAAGAGACATAATATTTAAAGAAGTTTGAAGAAGAAGAAAAAAAAACATCTATAATGTGTAGAAACATTATAATAGCATGATCAATGAGGTGGAAAGTAACATCAATTGTAAAATGAAACATTTGGGAAAGAAATGGTAAATGTGAAGATCAAACTAGTCACATTTCTTTCTGCATTCGCCAAAGATTCCAACCTAAAAACACCATTTAATATTAAATAGGAAAACCTATTTGGTTTCTGATCAGAGCACAGGTAGCCCATTGTGTAGTCTTAACTACAAACAAACGTTAACAAGTGAACTCCAGTGCAAAGAGTTTTTATCGTGTATGTAGCAACATAGCACATAAGATGATTTGAAAAAAAAACACAAGTCGAAACACTAATTGTTTTCCAGCTTTAAACTATTTTTCATTACATTTTCCTTTATCAAAAACACTCGTAATGTTTTCATTGTTTCTGGTATTTGTTCTATACTGAATGCGATAGAATTTCAATAACAGATGTGTAGAAGTAACTTTTTAGCCGCGGCATAGCGGCTCATCAAATGGCTCTGAGTGTTTTTATTTTTTTTCAAGCACAAACTTTTAACTCGTGCCTCCATCTTTTGACCGAGTTGAGATATAATTACAGCCGAGGCTATTGAGGATTCCCTCTTGTTTAAAATTTAGCCCATAACTTTATAGATAAATTATACAATTACAAACTTTGTATATTTGGTATAGGTAAATATATATATATATATATATATTTCATAAACAGGGCTAGATTAACCAACCGATTAAGCGGAAAACCAAAAAATGAAAGCATAACATGTGTATGCATAAAAAAATCAAATATAAAACCTTAAATAGCTCATCGCCTCATAGTTTGCAAAGTTATTTGGAACGATCTGTTTTTCTGTTAAAGTAATACACAGCTCGTTTAAGTCTTATTAAAGTTGTAGAATAAAATTAATATACGTGATTCAATGAACCAATAATTCAAGTAACAGATGACTCGTGAATCGGCAGATGTCAGGTTTTAACAATTATCCAAAACTAGAGAGTGATAAGCCTTGAGCATTTCAGCCCATGTGTCATAAAACTTGCCGTTCTGGTTAAAAGTACCACTAGTTACGTCAGAAAATACTTGGAAGTTTTTTTTTTTTTACAACAGTTTGTGTAAATACGTAAAAGATAATAAAACATTAACACTTTAAGGAACTACGATCAAACGTTTCGATGTTATTGTTCCTATTAGTTTAGTTTTAACCCTTTCAGTACTGTTGGGTTATATTTATCCCAGTGTATGTTTGCGCAGGACTAGTGGAACCCATATATCCGGTAAACATATTTTGATCATGTTATAGCTGAGGGTACAATTTAAATGTTCATTTTTATTGCATTTGATAGATTGTGGCCAAAGCTTCCTCAAACTGTGTTTTTGTGTGAATCAGTATATCTTGTAAGAGTAATTAACGTTTTTATTCAGAATTGGAGAAATAAAATTATGATTATAAGATATTCTTGAGTAACTTTAGTCTCAGGGAATGTATATAGAGTGTATATATAATATGTTTCTATTATATAGAGTGTATATATAACATGTTTCTATTGTATAGAGTGTATATATAATATGTTTCTATTGTATAGAGTGTATATATAACATGTTTCTATTGTATAGAGTGTATATATAACATGTTTCTATTATATACAGTGTATATATAACATGTTTCTATTGCATAGAGTGTATATATAATATGTTTCTATTATATAGAGTGTATATATAACATGTTTCTATTATATAGAGTGTATATATAACATGTTTCTATTATATAGATGTATATATAGCATATTTCTCTTATATAGAATGTATATATATATATTACATATTTCTTTATATAAAGTGTATATATAACATGTTTCTATTATATAGCGTGTATATATAACAAGTTTCTATAGACAGCTGTAACCCAACAACAATACTCGTTGGAACACATGTAACACAACAACAATACCTGCTCGGACACAAGTAACACAACAACAATACATGCTTGGATACACGTAACCCAACAACAAAACCTGCTTGGATACATGTAACACAACAACAATACCTGTTTGGACACACATATACCCCAACAACAACACCTGCTTGGATACATGTAACACAACAACAATACCTGTTTGGACACATATAGCCCAACAACAATACCTGCTTGGATACACGTAACCCAACAACAAGATCTGCTTAGACACATATAGCCCAACAACAATAACTGCTTGGATACACGTAACCCAACAACAATAACTGCTTGGACGCATATAACCCAACAGCAATGACCGTAGGGACATACGTTTTATATGGAAATTTCAGTAACCCTCCGCGAGAAAAAACTTTAAAAAAATGCAGAAAGCATTCCTTATACATATATCTTATGTCATTTATACATTCTTATGTCTTTCCTATTTTAAAAATACAACAGTCGTATTGAAAGGATTAAAATAACCATCTTTTTTCCCCTTTTGTCCAAGTGAAATGCTAAGAGTTTGTCTTGTTATTAAGACACTTTATTTTGCTTACCAACAGATTGCTATTACAGGATTATATTATTATATTTGAGTTGCGTTAACTTACTGTCCTGTGGCATAAATATATTAATTCAGCTACAAAAAAAACACCTTTTTTTTAGTTTAAATGCTCTCTACAAATTTGCCATCCACATTTCTATTAAAATAATGATACGAAAGCTTCTTTCATAACTCTTTGAAAGTTATTTAACATTAGCTAGGTGATGTGTGCTTTTTTGTTGTTTGTTTCTTGTCCTCATTAAGAGGGAGGAGTACAAAAATACGTTTGAGAATTATTGTTAGGTGTGTACTTTATAAATCAGCACTCGTCAAATCACAGGGAATTTTTTTCCATGTCAATAAAACTTCAGAAGCAGACACGGCATAGATTCAGTCGGTGCTAATAGATTTGATGATCAATCAAAAGACGTAACTTAAAAACGAAGTAAGATTTTCCATGATATATTGTTTTAATTTTTGTTTTACATTTCATCCAAAAGACAATATATAATATTAACTTCTGATCAAAGCAAGCTACCTACGAAATAAGAACTTAAAATTATATACCTAGGCGATGACCATAGCTAACCAAATATAAAGTTCAAACTATATTACTTATTTGGCGTGGTTAACAAAGCATACAAAACTCACAATGAGCAAGTGCTGATTGCAGAATTTCTTACCCATTTCCATCTAGGATGCCACCATGTTTCTTCTTTATATCGCTTGAAAGAAACTTCCATTTAGTCTATATTTTTAGCTTACTGAAAAGTTAACCTTTCGGAAGTCAAGAGTAATTTTTTTTTTTTTCGTTAATTCAAAATAATTTTCAGGTGTTTATAGGATGAATTATACGTACAATTATTTTATAATTGTTTTTATCTAAAATGTGTATCTTCTGCTTCAGTAGAAAAATCTTCCTAACTTTTCTCGTCTCAAAGCCATGGGTATTTTCTGCTTGGAACTTCAAAAATAGTTTTTCCTTCTTCGTCTGTACAGACTGTGCAATCTCACGTAAGAACATTAGGTGCAAAGTTTGCCTGTTTATTGGTCTATATAGTGTGGATAGTCTCTTCTAGAAGATCTGGACGAAATACCTATGTGACCGCTATTTTCAAAGTTGCCAAGGTTCCTCTCGTTGGGACCCCAAGAAGAAAACCTCTCCTGATGACTTCGATCAGGGTTGCCCATGGGAACCTCGGGAAAACTTGTTTCTTCTTTTTGGTAAACTTGAGCATTAGAATTTTCAAGGGACCCTGGAAGTCTATCCCCAAATTCTAAATTTCCTTGGGAAGAGCCCTCATTGCTTTGCAGCAATCTTGTGTAGCCATCATCCGTGTCATGTCTATTTCTAGTTCTTAAATTTTCCCTTACGAAAGGAATCCCAGTTTCTTTAATTTTCTCTGTACTTTCTGGTACTTCGAGATAATAATTGTCATTTTGAGTTTGTCTAAATGAATAATCAGTTTGTCTTACTCGTTCTGGTAAGGTTTTTTCCGATAAATAATGTCGACCAGGACTTGTGTTTCTTGAACTTTGGGGTGTTCTCCGGGTTTGCAAGGTACCGTCATTTTTCAAATCAGGGAGCTGATCTGATGTATAAAAACGCTCATCAATTTTTCTCTTAAATTTCTGTAAAGGAGTTTGAATAGCTTTTTCATCGTTTGTCCATAGGCCTTCGTTCCAACTGTTAAAATTACTTTCTTCACTTGAACTCAAACCGTGGGCCCTAGTTGCGAGAGACATTTCATCATCAACATTCGACCACTGATTACTGATATATACGTTTTTCTCTTCATCTGGATTGTATGCCTGTCTTTCATTGTAAAATGTTCTTTCTGCAGCTGGGCTGTATCTCTGGTTCCCATTGTACAATGTTCTTTGATTTTCTTCTGAACTGAAGCCTTCATTTCCAATGTACAAAGGTCTTTCTTCATATTGATTGAACCCTTGGTTTCCTGTGTAAAAAGTAGTTTTTTCTTCTGGGAGGAAACTCTGGCTCCTGCTGTAATACGATCTGTCCTTACCAGGACTAGATCTCTGTTCCATGGTGTAGAGAGACCTTTCTTCGTCTGGAGTGAACCGATAGTTCCCGGTATACAAAGAGTATTCTTCAGTTGGGTTATATTGCTGGCTTCTAGTGTGTGAAGGATTTTCTTCATATGGATTGAATTTCTTACTCTGAGTGTGTGGATATCTTTCTTGGTCTGAAATGAATTCCTGATTCGTAGTATATACAGGTCTTTCTAAGTTAGCGCTAAGACCTTGATATCCAGATCTTTCTACACCTGAGGTGCGACGATGATTTCCAGTATATGAATATCCTTCATTGCCAGGATTGAACTCTTGGCTGCTCGTGTGAAAAGGTTTTTCTCTGTTTTTTCTATACTGATTTTCCAAGTTTCTTTCTACATTTCCTGAAAATTGTTGACTATAAGATCTTTTGTCATCAAGTTGAATGAAATCTCGTCTGTTAGCGTTCACGTGTCTTTCGTTATTAGCGTTGAAACCTTGATCACTGACATGCGCTGTTGTCCCTTCATTTCCATAAAATGTTTTGTATTTTGGCTTTGAAGGTATTATATTCTCAGCATTTTTACTTACTTCCGGGATATAACTTGATGGGTGTGTTGTGGACTGGGTATCATTCTGGGTGTTGTCTTGCACAGTTTTCACTTCGGATGGGCTACATTTCACATTCTCATCGTCACCAGACTCGCAACTCTCTGTTAGAGCATTAAACAAATAAGTTTCAGGACAAAATACTGTTGTTTTTCTTTCATCCTTACAGATATAATACCGTGTACAGTTTGTTGGAAAGTCTGGATAATAACCATCTGATTTACGTCTGCAGGAGAATTCTAACTGTGGTGGTTCGATCTTGTCAGCCAAACTTTCACACGTGAAGGCCGCGGGGTCGTCGCAGGATTCGAGATTTGGGTTATATACCAGGTCAGAAGGACACATGAATGAAACTGTTCGACCATTTGTACATACGTGAAACATTCTACAATTTCTTTCCCCGAGAGCAAAAATTCCATTAGATTTGCCACTACAGTTAAAACTGGATTCGGGTACAAGATTAGCTCTAACTACTCTAGAGATGTTGGCATGTGATCTATAGCTGCGTGCTGTAACTTGACCACAACTGGCTTCACTGGCAGAATCACAGGATCGAGAAATTGGGTTAAATGTTTGACCACTGGGGCATCGATATGTTGCCCCCATTTCTCCCCAACATTCGTGCCACTTCTTGCACCCACTATTAACATCTACATAAATTCCTTCATCGCCTTTTTTACATAAAAATGTTCCAAGAAGTGCGGGGGCGCGACAGTCTACTGCTGTTTCATTTTCACATTGTCCTGTTATCTGATTAAATCGCTTCTTTTCTGGACAATTAGATACATTTTGTTGACCATAGGCACAGACTTGAAACTTTTGACAGCTGGAAAGAAAATCTGCATAAAGCCCTAACCTGCCTTCACAACCGTAATGAGAGATATCCCAATGAAGAAGTGGGGTGGAAGATGTGGTTCCAGTAGTTTGGCACTTGATAACCTTCGATGACAAACACAATCCACTTACAGAATCAAACAGTGTAGAGGGCGGACAAGATGATTCAATTACTTTCCGGTGATTAATGCAAACATAAAATGAAGTACATTGACTGTCTTTAGCAGGGTATGAACCATCTGAACGATCATCGCAGTCCGGGTCCTGGATTGGGGCACAGACTACCTGCGAACGAGGCTGACAAGTCCCAGTAGCGGGATCAAGTAGTTTCTCATCTGCACAGAATCCCAGTTGAACCAGATTACCGTCCCTACAGACTTCGAATTCTCGACAACCATTGTCGTATTTAGGGTAAACACCATTTGGCCTTTCTTTACAGTCCAGCGTCTGAGAAAACTTACACACATTAGCTTCAGAATTTTCACATGCCAACGAGTCCGGGTTGAACACAAGGGGGTAAGGACAGGAGTATTTTCTGGAAATCCCCCCTTCACATACTTGAAACGCGTGGCACATTCTCGTGTAAACAGGATAGTAACCATCCGGAAGTCCATTACAATGAAAGTCGTGGGGGTCCCCACATTCCGTCTCTAAAAAGTCGGAACAGTTTCGAATCTTTTCGTTGAACACTGTTCCGGCCGGACAAATAAATTCTTGTACTTCATTATTGTCACACCTGTAGTACCTCCGGCAGTCTTCTGTAATGTCAGCATAAAATCCTTCAGTTTTGTTGAGACAGTCTAAACGAGTGCACGTCACTTCTTTTGATGATCTGCAGAGTCCCCTTCTCCAGTCAAAACGCTTACCAGTTGGACAGCTGTACTCGAATTTTCTGCCACCTGTAAAAAAGAAAAAAAATAGATGTAAACAAAATTGTAACTTAGCTTCGTTAGGCCACAGATACATGAAATTCATTACCTTATTTCCAAATTGCATAAAATTAGAAGTAACCTAGAAATATTATCAAATCTACTTATCAAGTAGTCTACATCAACGTTTCTCAAACCTTCCGACACTAGGAACCGACTCGTGGCCTCCCTGCACTATCGCGGACCACTAAAATTCAAGTACAACAAAAACCATTACGATTTACATATGAATATTCTGTCAGTGTTTGCTTGTTTTCGTGAAATCCCACATACCGGCACCTGTCTCCGCACCGGTGGTTGAGAAATATTGGTCTACCTGCATAAAAAAGCCTCTCTCTCCTTAACTATCAGATAATGATTACATTTGACTTTGAGATTATAGATAAACGTAACTTTATGATTAGTTCATCAGTCACCCGATTTCTAAATGAAGTTGAATTGTTGAGGTAAAATGAAGGAGAAAGAGTTGTTGTTGTTAAGCACAAAACTACACAATGGGCTATCTGTGCTCTGCCCACCACGGGTATCGAAACCCCGTTTCGTGCGTTGTAAGTCCACAGACATACCGCTGTGTCACTGGGGGGCAATTAAAAAGTAGACTGGTGTAACTAAATATCGAATTTATTGCAACGAAAATGGTCAACTCGTATCAACGTAAAATGTTTTCCTTCAGGGGCGTTTTACGTTCAACAAATCAGAGACGTATAACTGAAGCAAACATTTTTTCAGACAAAGTTTTACTAGTTATATGGAGTAAAACTTTTATTTAGTCGCACATTTCTACTAGGTTTACCTGGCATCGTCAGGTAAGACACAAAAACAGTTGTTATATCTCACCTGACAATGTTAGTTAAGCCTCGTTGTGACAAAATAAAAAAAAAATACTCTGTACAGCCAATAAAACTTTGTCTGAAAATGATAAAACTTCATTCTTTGTAATATCTAATTTGCTCAAACACTGTTTTACAGAAGTCAGAGTGATTAACAGCATCGTGCAAGAGTTCGTTTTTAAAAAGTGCTTTCCTCAAAGCTTTTAAGTTGTTTTTTGGTTTTGTTTTTAGGTTTGTTTATACACAAAACTCGAGTATAACTATAAAAAAATCATCAAAGTGTTTTATAAAAATATAGGCCTGGTGGCTAAAGCGCAATTTGAGGGTCGTGGGTTCGAATCTCTGCCACCGAATATGCTCACCCTTCCAATCGCACGATTCGTTGGTAAAAGAGTAACCCAATAGTTGGTGGTGGGTGGTGTTGATTAGCTTCCTTCCTTCTAGTCTATCGCTGCTCAATTAGGGATGGCTAGCACTGATAGCTATTGTGCATTTTTGTACAAAATTCAAACCAAACCAAACCTACAACAAAATTCAGTCTGCTACCAAAAGGAGCTACTACAACTACACTGTCCCCCAGTAACTCAGTAGTAAGTTTGAAGGCTTATAATGCTGAAAACCGGGTTTCAATACCAGTGGTAGACACAGCAAAGACAACCCATTATGTAGCTTTGTGCTTACCAAAAAAAAAAAACAAATAAATAACAACAACAATCGTTTACCAAAAAAATGATAACAACAATCGTTTACAAAAAACAAAAAATAACAACAACAATCGTTTACCAAAAAATGATAACAACAATCGTTTACAATAAAAAAATAACAACAACAATCGTTTACCAAAAAAATGATAACAACAATCGTTTACAAGAAAAAAATAACAACAACAATCGTTTACAAAAAACAAAAAATAACAACAACAATCGTTCACAAAAAACAAAAAATAACAACAAAAATCGTTTACAAAAAAAAGAGAGAGAACATTTTGAAACTTCAAAGTTCTGACTACATGAGAAATATAAAAAAACATAGTAGTTATGGGGAAAATAAATTTGTCAAGGGAAATATAATGAATTATAAAGCGGGGAACTTGAGAGTTTACCATCATTATTTGAATTTATCTCTATATATCTAACTGCACAGAGATTTATCAGAAACTAAATAAACAAAACAATTCTGACTACCAGGAGGCATTCAAATGAACTTTAAAAAATTGCTAATAAAAAATTCAACTGCCTTGGCCTATGTGTGCATAAAACTATAAATACTTATAATTCTGAACTTTGGGAAATTTATTACATTAGAAAATCTGGATCTTTAGATATGAATATGCAATCTGAAAATTTATGAGTGACATTTTTTTCCCTAGAAGTCACGTGATGTTGTTTCTCCTTAGAGTACGTATCTTGAATGGTTGTTTGTTATTAACCACAAAACTACACAAAGGGCTATACGTGCTCTGCCCACCACGGGTATCGAAACCCGGTTTCTAACAGTATAAGTCCGCAGACATACCGCTGTGCCACAGTGGGACCAACTTGAACGGTATGTCCGTCAGATTATTTTTTTATAATGTTCCAAATGACTTGGCAGATCTTATGATTGATTAATGAAACCTAACCTAGCTTAGCTACTTCAAAGGGAATGGAGATGTAATAAATTGGATAAATAAATACGAAATGTTTTGTTTGTTTTGAATTTCGCGCAAAGCTACACGAGAGCTAACTGCGCTAGCCGTCCCTAATTTAGCAGTGAAAGACTAGATAGAAGGTAGCTAGTGATCACCACCCCCGCCAACTCTTGGGCTACTCTTTTACCAACGAATAGTGGGATTGACCGTCACGTTATAACGCCCCATGACTGAAAAGGCGAGCATGTTTGGTGGGACGGGGGATTCGAACCCGCGACCCGCAGGTTACGAGTCGAGCGCCCTAACCATCGTCAAAAAAGGAGAAACTTTAAAAAACTAAATAGGACAAGTGATAAATAATAATAGTAAAAATAAATAATAATATGTTGATTCAACATAAAAAAATCTAATTATCGCAGAAATCGAACAAACCAGGCCTACCTCGACAAAAATAAAAACTTTGACAGTCTTTACTGTAGCTTGTGTACACACCGTCCTCCTGTCGTGAACAATCTTCCGCCAAGGATTGTGAAACGTCCGTCTTTGGAGCGAGACACTTGACAGAATTAGGGGAGTCACATGCAGACTCGGGATTAAACATCATTCCATCCCCGCACCAGAACTTGTACTTCTTCCCAGAGTCACACACAAAAAACGCTCTACAGGCTTGTTGGTAATCAGTATAAGCGCCATCTTGGAGACTAGTGCACTCGTTCGCTGTCTCATTAGCGGGTGCCTTATTTGAAAAGAAAAGAAAAACCAATAATGCTTTAGGTTCTTAATCTACATACATTGGTAAGTATCTATCATCTGAGCTTAACCTATAACAGCTTCCAGTACATCAACTGCCTTCTACTTGCTAAATTGTAGAAAGTTCAGTTATTTTTACGTTACAATAAACTAACATTGAATGGTCTATAAAAGTTAAATAACTGCCTATAATATTTATCCTCTACATAAAACAATTAAAGAACACAACAGTTCTTCTCTTCGTTCAATGTGTGGCGTAGATACACACTGCCTTATTTTCTATACCTACAAGAACTGTATTAAAATAATCCTGGGCTTTCCACGAGTTATTAGAATTATTAGGATAACCCAGCACTACTTAATCCACGAGTTATTAGAATTATTGGGATAACCCAGTACTACCTACTCCACGAGTTATTAGAATTATTGGGATAACCCAGTACTACCTAATCCACGAGTTATTAGAATTATTGGGATAACCCAGCACTACCTAATCCACGAGTTATTAGAATTATTGGGATAACCCAGTACTACCTGCTCCACGAGTTATTAGAATTATTGGGATAACCCAGTTCTACCTAATCCACGAGTTATTAGAATTATTGGGATAACCCAGTACTACCTACTCCACGAGTTATTATAATTATTGGGATAACCCAGCACTAACTACTCCACGAGTTATTAGAATAGTTTAGTATTCTCTAATCCACGAGTTACTGAAGTAGTCTAGTATTATCTAAACCAAGAGTTATAGTGATAGCCCAATTTTGTCTACTCCTTGAATTAGTGAAATAGTCCAGTGGTGTCTACTTCAAAAATTATTGGGACAGCCTTGTTCTGTTTACTCGAGGAATTATTCGAACAGCCCGATATTGTTTATTTCAGCTATTATTGGGATAGCCCAATGTTGCCTACTCCAAAAATTATTGGGATAGCCCATTGATGTCTATTCCATGAGTTATTAGGACAGCCCACTGATGTGTACTCTACGAATTGTAGGAATAGCCCAGTGTTATCTATCTACGAGTAATTGGGATGACCCATTGATGTTTTCTTCAAATTATTGGGATAGCACGGTGTTGTCTACTCGATACTTCATGGGCTATCAAGAGAGCCCAATGTTGTTTAAATAAGTTTTTATCTACCTTTAACAGTAATAAAAAAACTTATATTATACTGTGATAAATTAGCGTTATATTGGGTGTCAACCGTTTCTTGATTTCTTGTCAACTGTTTGGCTTTGAAATCATAAAACATTTTTAAAACCATAGTTTTTCTTACCTGTTTAATTTCTAGATGTGTTGTTAACTGACTGTTCCCCGAGTGTAGGAGCAATATACCTGTTACTTAAGAAAAAATGTATTAATTAATACTCATTTAACTAACTTTTATAGAATATTTGAATATGTGACAAAACTAGTTTAAGTGCACAGATTCTTAGCTAAATTATTATTTTCTCGCAGATGATAAAAAGATAAGTATAGAAGTAAAATTTCCTAGGGAAAATCAAGGTGACAGTTAAACTCGTACAGCAGTGTATGTTTGGAAGAACACAGACCGAAACTACTGGTATTGGATCAGGTATTGGTTTCAAAGACTTTATTATTAAAAATCGTTAATCTTGTCACGTGTATGATTGAACCAGTTTATGTTTTAGACAATCTGTTTGTTTGTTTTTGAACTTCACGCAAAGCTACACGAGGGCTATCTGCGCTAGCCGTCCCTAATTTAGCAGTGTAAGACTAGAGGGAAGACAGCTAGTCATTACCACCCACCGCCAACTCTTGGGCTACTCTTTTACCAACGAATAGTGGGATTGACCGTCACATTATAACGCCCACACGGCTGAAAGGGCGAGCATGTTTGATGGGACGGGGATTCGAACCCGCGACCCTCAGAGTGCGAGTCGAGCGCCCTAACCACCTGGCCATGCCGGGCCATGTTTTAGAAAGGTACCTGTTATATTACCAAAGGTTGACTTGGATATATATAAGTATTTAGATGATAATCACTATTTAAATTGGCGTGTCAGTTAGACTCCCATTACATTTCAGTGACTTTGGATTTCTTTTCATATCGAAAAAGACATTGGAATTAAATTCTTCAAACCGAACGGCTACTTATGCGAGATATAGGCTAAACGGTCGGTTAAGTCACAGACCTCGAGAGTTCAACTGTAGCCATTTTTAATTTTGAACTTCTGACCCAAAGAAGGACAGCCAAACAGCAGTACTCGCAGCCACAGTGGCTTTGTCCGACTTTTTGGACTAAATAACGAAGTTGAACGTCCACTGCTCTGAAAGTATTCACCTTGTTCAATGGCGTTAAGGCTTGGATTCTGCGATCTGCAGTTCGGAATGCTAATCAATAAAACACACCAGACCAATCTGGACAAGAGATTAATATTTGCAGTAATTAACCAATCCGAGGGTTGTCGTGATGAAGTATAAAAGTACTGCCAGAGGGGGAGGAAAAAAACAGTTTTAACAACTATCTAAGACAGGTGCTCACACTGTCTTAAGGCAGCAAAATGAAAGAAAACATTTATATTTAGGTGCACTTTTAATAGAATCGACATCCGAGCTTTCTTGACACATAATAACCAGAAACATTGTAATATAATAAAATATAAAGTTCAACAAATCTTTATTTAACTATTTTTATGGTGTAAACGCCTTTTACAGGCTGGTGAAGCGTAATTATAATCAATTATACTTGTCATAAGACATTATGTTACACTTATTATATTTCTTAACACTACATTCTTAATCTGTCCCTTAGGGATTTTCCAGAATTAGAAGAGTATATAATAATAATATTTCAACCGAACTATATTCGTCATATCCATTGCCGACGAAGCGTTTTGCTCAATCCGAAACAAATACAGTAATAGTCGAAATACTATTATAGACTCTTCTACTTCTTCGAAATTCCTAAAGGACTAAATTAAGAAAGCAGTGTTAAAAAAGATATGATAGGCCTAACATAATGCCTTATGATAAGCATAATTTATTATAAATCTTTACTTAACATAGCATATTCGATCCTAAGGCAAAGATTCACAAATTAGAGGCGAGGGAGCCGCAACGCCAAAATTAATACCCACTTCTAAAAGATCATGACATCCCATAAACATCCGCAATTAAAAAAAAAGTAACTGTGTGATAAAAACATAGTAGTAAACATATACCACTTCTATGGGTTTATAAGGGTGGGATCATCAGGTGGGACACCTAATGCCATGATATGTCTTTGGAGAAGGAAGTTTAAGAACCCCTGCCTAAAGGAAGTATTTGAAACTTTTTGAACCACAAATTAAAGTTGTTTTTATGTAGTTAGTTCGATATAAGATATAGAACGGCGTATTTTATGAATTGTAGGCAACTTCTACTAATTACCTCTAATTCAACGATTACTGATATTTTAAGGTAGTTTTAATTCAAATGTAATTTCAAAAGTTTACAGCAACTAAAAAATGTTATGTGTTGAATAGTCTTTAAATTGAAGGACAATTAAAGACTTAAATTGGATCTCATCAACTGCAAAAGGTAATTAAAAAAAAAAAGTTGAATAATTCATTTTAATTTATTTACTGTTGATATTTTATTGGTTGTTTCTTTATGTCGAGTTGAACTTCACTGACACATAAACTCCAAATTTATTTATGTTAAAGGATAGTTGTTGTCGTAGAAAAAACTGAACATCGAATGTTGTCCCTGGGAGAAAAATGTCCCAAAAAGTGGCCTCGATTCGAAAAATCGCCCCGAAATGCCTTTTCATTTCATATCTTATATTTGTTATAAAATCTACAGCAGGAATACATCAGAAACAAACATTCAGCTCGTTTCATTAAAATAAGCAAAGATATAGACAGCAACGTCACGTAACGACACTGGTGGAACTGTCAAAGCTACTATCTTGAATATATCATAAAACGTCTTTATTTTCTTTTTAGGACAATAAAATCCTAAAAAAAGTCATCAGAAAATCACAACTGTTTCTAATACAGCAAGCTTTACCAGCACTGCCTGTACCCAGAATTATAATAATTATAACTTGTCCAACTTTTTTATATTTATGAAAGTGTATCTGGTTATGGTTTGCAAAATATGGTCGTCTTGAAATAATATGTCATAAGCAATATTTTTAATATTTGATTTAGATATTTGCTAGAGGGAACTAATGATGATGATGATGTAATCATCTGAATAGTTCAAGAAGTATGTAGATATAGGAGTACCGCATAAATACGAGAATCAGTGAACAAATAATCAATAGATATTCAGTGAGTTAATGTGTTCAGTGACAGAAAAGTTATTTAGTGTTAGAAATGAGATTTATCGTGTCTGTTCAGTTTCTTGATCGATTAGCGAGAAAATTCTATAAGTAAGTATATTTTTGAGTTACTCAGTCAGGCGTACTTACCATTATTCTTGGAATTTCTATTGAAACATTGTATGTGCACTTAGGCCTACAACTGTAAGTGAAAGAAGGCTGTAGCAATCGTTAGAGAAAAAAAACAACTAATTCATTATCTTTACGTGAACTGAACTTGGCATTCTTTTTACCAGAAAATCCAAAAGAACCCACCCAACGATAGAACATGTTACAATAATAAACATAAAACTTCGTAAATCGTGATATTTGGTAATTTAATAATGTCTAAAATATATATAATAAAGATAAACATTTTTAAGTTGATTTACTGTCATTTTGTTTTAAGCTTAAAGTGGTGAAAAAATTAAAACCTTTGACTTAGGCTTACGTGATTCATTATGTTAAGACGAACAACAACGGTACGACTACACTTTGCTTTCGTAAGAAAAATTAATATATAAATGTCATTTATTAATTTAACATCTTAGAATAACAAGAGTTAAGTGTTGAAGAAGATGTATCGTATCGAAAATACTTGATATAATCTTCATTTTCACTTCAAGATGTTCATATCAACAAATTATTAAATTATGTGTAACAAAAAGAATAAACCGGCGAAGGCCGGACAGCAGTGCTGAACTGATCCGTTGGTAAGTTGAAAGATTGTAGATTTTCCAATTTGGTTTGGAGTAAATTGATCTCGACTTTATAAATTAAATGAATGGTGATGTTGCTTCTAGAACCATGATCGTGGCTCCTAAACTTCCATACAAGAGTTCAAGAAACTTTAACACAAGAACAAGGTTAAAAAATATACAAAATGAATTATGTAACTATTCATCAAATGTATATTAAATGTTGTTGACGGTACTTATGTTAGTTGCATCTGGCGAAAGAAGCTTTTCCCGCCTGAAAGTTATTACAAACCAATCACAAAGTAGGTAGTATTCAGTATGATTAGCTACTGAAGTGTAGATGCCACAAACCGAAGTTTTGCACAGGGCTCCCAAAATGTAAATTCCCGCTCCTGGTTGAAGTCATCCACCTTTCTGACAATTAATAAGTTTTGATTTTGGAAAACATTAGTTTAAACGTTATTGAAGCTGTTACTTGGGGTATGTTGGAGCGAATAATAACGCAGACTACACAAGTTAAATATAACAGAAGCAGTTTCAAACTTGGGTATAATGTTTCTGCCTTTATATAAAAATAATAAAATCCAAAAAAATTTCCCGATCTCAGAGAGATCACTCAGAAATTAATCACTGCACTTAGTTAAAGAAATGATGTAATTTAAGTTATCATGTCATTATTTGTTGTCTTTTAAAACGTGTAGTGCATGCTGGAGAGATTTGTACATTTTTATTATAAAGTTATAGAAAAACGACCTTTAAACTCCATATAATTATAAAAGAACGTTTTATTTGAAACCTGATGAAGCCGCAGAGGCGAAACGTTGGTTCAAATATAAAGTTATTTTATAATTAACTGGAGTTTAAAGTCGTTTTTCTCCAACCTTTTAATCAAAATATGTCATTATTCACCTATAAGTTTGAACTTTTCATTCATATCTCAATTAGACTACTGTATATAATCATACAACAATTAGACTACTGTATATAATCATACAACAATTAGACTACTGTATATAATCATAGAACAATTAGACTAAACTTTTCATTCATATCTCAATTAGACTACTGTATATAATCATACAACAATTAGACTAAACTTTTCATTCATATCTCAATTAGACTACTGTATATAATCATGCAACAATTAGACTAAACTTTTCATTCATATCTCAATTAGACTACTGTATATAATCATACAACAATTAGACTAAACTTTTCATTCATATCTCAATTAGACTACTGTATATAATCATACAACAATTAGACCAACACTGACTTTGTTCGAACTCAGTTAAACTAACAATTGTTATCTTTAACGCAAACTGGAGTTTATTGTGAAACATTTCTGTAAACTTAAATAAAATCGCGACCTATATCTCCAGAATATAATTTTATTAGTTGATATTTCGCTATAGGATATCATTACTCCTGACGAAGCTGAAATAGCGAAATATTGATCTAATAAAGTTACATTCTGGATATATAGGTCGTCATTTCATTTATGTTTATAAACTCAGAATTGATTATGGTAATAATATAGTTGGGCTAACACTAGCTGTCAGACCAACTTTAGCTAGTATTCTAACCACGTTTATTTAAACAATCACACGAATTACCACATAACAAATATTAGCTACCATCTCAGTTCACTCTCAGACTAACTTAGTCATCAGTCTGATCATAGTCATCCATCACTTTCTGTGTTGTATATACACTACGAATTGGTTACATTTATAACGATCGTTTTTTCAATACTATTACAGTAACCCTAAAAATCACTAGACCAGGATTATCGAGTACGGATCATTAGATTAAATGGATGTTATAACAAAGTTACAAGTAGAATGACTAAAGTTATTGTATATTTTATGTATGTTTTATTTTCCCATTTCCCGAAAATGAAGTAACCTCCACCCCTAACCCCAGCAGGCAGTAGTTTTTTTGTTTTTTTGTTTTCTTAATTTCTAGATATTGGTCTGCCCTTGTTTTCAGATCCGCCTTGTATTTCAACAGTATCCGTTCTTCATAAATGTTACATTATCACATTCTTACAATGCCTACAACCACGAAACAATAGACCAGGGGTCAGTGAGGGTAAAAAAAAGTTTGAGGGGGGGGGGCGTTGGCCTTTGTCAGGTGTGTCAATGCGTC